CGGGCTATATATATATATATATATATATATTTTAATAATTACAGTCTTGCTCGCGAGAACTCCGGTCTGACGCACGCGAGTTCTCGTGTTATTTCCTTATCACTTCCTGCGTGTGTTTTGTTGTGAAACATAGTTCGCGGACCAGACAGAGTTGTCGGCGATTCTTCCTATTGTGAAGTCATGCAGTGTGAAACCCCCTGTGATTGGGCAAGGCTAAAAGGGCGGAACGAAAGTCTCAAAATTCAAATGAATCAAATAGAATCGACTCAGAAGAGACGTGAATGAATGCACGCATTTCACCTGATCCACAAATGCACATTTTAATTGCTACATGCCCAAATCATGATACTTTAACACAAACTATAACATTTGTATTCACAAATATGTCTCTATTTGAACAAAATGCTGCACATTAATGTAATTCTTTTCTGTAATTCGTTGAAAAGCATTTTTTTCAGTGTAGTGACGCACATTTGCGAATTTTTCAAATTGTGTACACGTTAATGAATTGCACTGGGCCTTGTTCGTTATTAGTTGTGTGTGTGGGGGACGTGAAATGCTGTAAACTACGAAAATTAAGTCTCAAAATCCAAATGAACCGAACGAGATTGACTCGAACTAGACGTCAATTAATGCAAGCGTGTCACCTGATCCACATATGCACAGATTCCTTTTTGCATGAGCAATTTATAATATATTAATGCAGAACAGAACATTTTTATTCGCAAACATGTCTGTATTTGTACAAATCGCTGCACAATCATTTAATCCCTAATTCCACAGACTCAAATTGAAAGGCATTTGTTTGTGGTTAGTAAGATACATGTATAAAATGTATGCAGTACATGGATAATTGTGCGTGCATCTATTAATCATTTTGAGTCTAATATCATCCCATACGGATGTCTTTATTTGAATGTATCTGAAGGGTACCGACTGTCCTCAGAAACATGTCGTTGGTATTTTCATTTCATTTTACCTATAATTCCTGATAAAGCAGCGTTTATGAGCGCGGAGCTGCTTTGTGTACAGCGGTTACCGGGGACATCGCATTATTTCGGCGCTCCTAAAGCGCGCCACCTCGTGGCAGAGAATTCATTTGCATTTCCAATAAGCCTTTCTTGCTGTTTATGGTCAAATCAAATATCATCTTTTTTTATTTGGGATCTTCTTTGTCCTCCCCCTCATCGCATGTGAAAACTATGAAAAGCACTGAGCACGTCTTTCTCTGCCTCAGTGCCAGCCAAAGTGTGACGCGTCAAAGGGTTAAAATCAATCGTGTTTTTGGGGTGGAGGGTGGACAAATTGAACATGGGGTGGGAGAGGGGGCCTGGCTGACTATTTAATTACCATAGCCTAGGTAGGGTATCTTCTAGTTTTAGGGAAGTTCATGTTTGATTAAACATCCGTAAATAACCTTGACATCTAAGTATATTATAATATTTTACTTAGCTAGTTTTTGATTAAAGTTTTTGTCGTCTGTGTAAAAATCATTTCCATGGGTAGGCCTATATATTTTTGTAATAAAAATAAGCTTCTGTTTCATAAACTTGGTGCTGATAACAGCTTAACATTATTTAGCCTGCCTTTGGGGTCTTTGCATATATTCCAATATCATTATGCCTCAATTAGCTAGTTATAGATTAAGAGTTGTTGTTTTAGATGTGTGTTTAAGAATTTATGTTGTTAAAATAACATTCTGTTCCGTAAATGCATTGTCTGCTGGTTTATTTAGCTACTTTTCAGTACACCACATTAAGTATACCACTTAGTACTGTAAGACTCTAAATGTTAAACTGCAAATTAACACCTGACCACTCTTGTGGGTTTGCTACTGTTACAATTAAAAATCGTAGAAGGGTAAAAACATGCCAGGCAGACACTAGTATGATGTAAGCAACACAGCTACAACAAATAATGGGTGTGTTAGATTTATAGTGTGCGAATAATCAAGCATTGACAATAATCAGTCATATTGGCGGCACTGAGGGGCCCCATGTAAAATTCTGCTCAGGGTCCCATAAAGGTTTGGGCCGGCCCTATGCTAGTCTAGGCTAATAGAGTTTTTTCCTCTTTGATGTTTTTAGCTTTTTTTTTTTTTTTTTCAATCAGATTTTTTACTCTTTCCCTG